TGTGTGTGTGTGTGTGTGTGTGTGTGTGTGTGTATATGTGTGTGTGCGCATGTGTGTACAGGTACATGTTTTTCTATACCAGTGGGGACTTAAACCTGAATACACACCAACTCATGGGGACTCGTGTCACCGTGGGGACCTAAATTGAGGTCCCCATGGGGAAACAAGCCTATAAATCATACAGAATTAGTTTTTTTTTTTTTGAGAATGTAAAAATGCAGAACGTTTTCTGTGAGGCGTAGGTATAGGTGAAGGGTTGGTGTAGGGCAATCGTATATACGGTTTGTACAGTATAAAAACCATTACACCTATGGAGAGTCCCCAGAAGTATAGTAAACCAGACGTGTGTGTGTGTGTGTGTGTGTGTGTCAGAGACCCAATAATGGAATAGGCTGTCAGCTTGTCTGAGGAGACCAAAGCGTTGTCAGTGAGCTGTGACCTGTGGTAATCGCACACACACTGACTCCCAGCAGGGACAGACGTGACACACTGACCTATCAGAGTCCTATCAGAGAGCTACCACATGCACACACACACACACACACACACAGACACACATACATACTTCATCTTAATCCTCCAACCCTCTTCTTATTTTCCCCTCCGACAGGTGGGCGTCAGGGCAAGCTACCAGTGACCGCATTCGAGGCCTTCGACCTTGAGATGAAGAGTTGGACGCGGTATCCGTGCATCCCCAGCCGCAGAGCGTTCTCCTCATGTGCTGCCAGCGACAGGGCGTTTTTCAGCCTGGGGGGTCTTCAGCAGCCTGGACCCCACAACTTTTACTCCAGACCTCACTTCGTCTCCACTGTAGAGGAATTTGATTGTGAGCAGGGTGAGCACTTCATCTCTTTTGCTGAATCTTTATTGACAAAACGATACACCAAAGAAATGTGACCATTACTATGTCAGCTCAAAGACATTTTTCATTGTACATTGTTGGAGCAATAAATATAACCAAGTGGTACTGTAAAAAGGATGTTTTTAAGAAAAAGCTTTGCCCGGGTTAGTTGTTACACTACACTACCGTTCAAAAGCTTGGAGTCTGTGAGGTGTACAGTATATATATATATATATATATATATAGTGTATATGTATATAATTTTTTTAAGTCTCTTATGCTCACCAAGGCTGCATTTGGTTGATCAGAAATACAGTAAAAACAGAGATATTGTGAAATTGTGATTTTAAAGTTACAGTTTTCTATTTGAATATATTTTAAAATTGAATTTATTCCTGTTATGCAAAACTGAATTTTCAGCATCATTACTCCAGTCTTCAGTGTCACGTGATCCTTCAGAAATCATTCTAATTTGATGATTTGGTGCTCAAGAAACATTTATAATTATTATAAATGTTGTAAACAGTATAGCTGCTTCATATTTTTGTGGAAAACGTGATAAAAAAATGTCAGGATTCTTTGAAAACAACAGCATTTATCTGAGATAAATGATGAATATCTTTACTGTCACATTTGATCACATTAATGTGTCTTTGCAGTATAAAAAATATTCAAAAAAAATTTTTTTAATGGTAGTATATATACTGTAGAACAGTTTTTAATGCAATGTCTTTAATGCCTTTCTGCATGTGTAAAATTACCTTGAGCTTGAGAAAGGTGCTATAAAATCTAAAACATTCTGGTAAGGCCTGTAAAAAAGTAGGATAGTAGCTGTTTTTCTTCTCTTACTGGGAAAAATTAACCTCAGTGTTAACACAAAGGGCAAGCTTAAATAATGGAGGATAGTTTTTACTTAAAATCGTTTTCATTAAGTCATTGCTGTGTACAGGTTGAAATGTAGAGTGTAGACAAGAGTAATTAACTGCCAGCCGTCATCAATTATAAAAAATAGGTGGCAATCTTTGATGGCAGGAGTGTAATTGGTGAAGATCAAAGAAATGGTCATTTGATGCTTGAACGGCTATCTGTAATGCTTTTAATACATATAATTTGATTTATCAAAACTGACATCAAGTAGCCTGTGTAAAATCAGTGCTATTATAACGAAGATTTAAATTTATTAGATTTTAGTTTAATAGATTGTAATTTAATTTTAATAAATAGAAAATACATTTTATAATGAATATTTCAATCAAATTAATTACATGATATACTGTTTGATTATATGCATATTTATATTTGGCAATTTGAAAAAGCTATCAAATTAACATAATTCAAAGACATTACCTTATTGTGGCAGGTGGAAACTCTGAGTAGGCGCACAAAAATGCCTTTAGGAGTCCGTATATTTATTTTTTTCCATATCATTGAACATAAGCCAAGCACAGGTCTACAGTCCACAGCAATGTGTTTCATTCAATGTTTAATCTGTCATGAAATCATGAAACATGAAAGTGGTACTTATAGCTGTCACGTTGCACACACACGAGGGACGAGGAGACGCTGGAGAATATGTTGACAGGACTTTATTTGCATGAACCAAGGGAGACGAACACAGGAAGACGTTCACACGAAGACGTTCACAGGAAGACGTTCACAG